ATTAATTGGCAAAAGAGTTTGTTTTTCAACTTCCTTTTGTAAAATACTTAACTATTGGATAAATACGATCACAATATGGTCTTGTTTTTTCTATACTACATGTTTATAAGTTTATTTTTAAGTAAACTTTGATATTACCAATAAATGATGGGCGATTGCCACCTAACTGATGGTACTTGGCCTCTGGTGTCAGTTCATGACGTACGTAGAGTGTTATCAACAACCCCTCGTCAAAACAGGCCTCGTAGAGAGTATAGAAATTATCCGCCAAGCTATAACCAACCCTATGATATAAAAAGAGGTTTAATAAAAAAATCTTCGTTGAACTTTCCATTTCTTTACTTAATAATTATTTAGAATAAAAATCATTCCTAAAACTCTAAAATAACTTATATAATAATATGAATATGGTGCACAATTCTTGCGATTTCTATTTTCATTAATAAAAATGAATAAGCGATACTAGTTCACCAAAATATTGGCGAATTTAGAGAATCGAACCCAAAACTACGTTATTAGATGTCCGTAGCTTTAACTATAAGGCAATTAGCGTTTTATAAGTAGAGTATGTTCTATTTAGTAGTTGTTTTAAAAACTTAACCTGTAAATTCTATGGTCATCGTGACACGAAATATTCGTAGCTTCCACCGTGAACCAAGGTGGTGCGTTACATCTTATCTGTTTGAAGTCACCCACCCATCTCCCAGCGTGGAATGTTGTGCCTGATATACATTGAACCTCCTGGAAATAATACACTCCTAGTATTATAAGCTAAATGCAGCAATAATTTAGTTACACAATCAAAAATCGCAAGTATTAATCGATTTTTTTAAATCGATTTCAAAAAATATTTGTTTAATTTATCCTTTCCTTTTTTTTTATAGATTTTTAAACTAAAATTGTATTCAACTTACAACAACGTCTAAATCCGTGGTATGGTTAGATAAAACAACAAATTTATTTTTCCCCGGACACCCTACGAGTAGAATTTCCGAACGACGCACCAATATGTCACCCGTCGTTGCGTTTGGCACCAAAAATTTCCCGCTCTTGATGTAAACTGGTGACGGATGTCCGAGATCATTTTTTAATGATAAATTGCAATCTAAAATTTTAATTTAATTAATACTAGCTGTCGCCCGTGACTCCATCCACGTGGATATATAAAAAAAACTTAATTAGTGTAGCCTATGTGTTCTTTCAGACTATGTTCTTTACGTATGCCAAATTTAATCGATATCCGTTCAGCCGTTCTAGAGATATCTTCAAACACACATACATCCATCCACATCACGTCCATCAAAACATTCGCATTTATATTAGTAAGTTAAATAAAAAGCAGCTCTTCAAGGCATAAATTCGAAAAAAATGAATAAATAGTATCCTATGTCCGTCTCCTGGCTCTAAGCTACCTCCTCACCAATTTTCAGGCATATCGGTAAAGTCGTTCTTGAGTTATAAATAGTGTAACTAACACCACTTTCTTTTATTTACATAGATTTTAATATAACATTGTATGATTTAGTTGAAATATAAATCAATGAATTAAATATTTACGTTAAATACGTAATCCCATACTTCTTTGGAAGGTTTACAGTTTTCCTTTGTTTCGGTTCAGAACAAAACATCTCAAGAACAATGAACGTCTTTTGAACTCGATACGTGTTATAACCAATCGGTTTGCCGTATAAGGAAAACCATTGTAATTTAAAAAAAAAGTTAACGAAAGAAGCATAGACAATTTAACTTTTTTAAATAAATGTCAATATGATGAATTTCAGGATGAGACGATGCATGTAAAGAGAAAATATTTTTTTTCTGTGCATCTCCTCCGTCGATTAAAGGTAGACAACGCATCTACAATTGCGTATGTCTATGGGCAACTGTCACTTCGCTATTTCAGCGATTTCAGGTGACTGCTCGTTTGACACCTTATGATATAAAAAAAACTCAGGCCTTAAAACTACGACCCATATTTTGACGTTACCCAATAATCTAGTAATATATTTTTATCGAATATATTTATATTAAATAGCTAAAAATTCTATTTTATTAAAATTATAAATATTTCTTACCTCCAACAATTTCATTGACCGATTTTAAAATTATAAAAAACACGTAAACACAACGCGCCGTCTTCATAATTACCTCAATGGTCTCAAGTAGACCGCTTTGTAACGGTACAAAATGAATCAAACTGTACAATTAGTGTTGTATATCGAAACTTGCACAATAATTTATCGATTTTTATTGCGATGTCATTTGACTAAGCTTGTACGCGTGTTGTCTCTTTCATTCTATATGTAAAAAACAAAGATATCAGTATCATCGTAATCTAAATTTAATTACTATTTGTGTTATGATTACAAGTATCAAATAACATTTCACAATTCTTTTTTATTACGCTTACGCGAAAGTGAATCACTACCGTTAGTAGGTTAATGTATTGAGAACATAGAATCGACTTCCTTCAGTTTATGTTGTCCTGGTACATTCAAGATAATTTTCATCAGTTTAGTAACATTTGGTAGCATGGTAGGATTTTTAAATCCTATAAAAAAATATTCAAGTAGTTATTTTTTATTGTATACTAGCTGTTGCCCGCGACTCCGTCTGTGTGGGAATAAAAATAGATGTTGACCGATTGTCAGACCTACTCAATATGCTCACAAAATTACATGAGAATCGGTCAAGCCGTTTCGGAGAAGTATGGGAACGAAAATTGTGACACGAGAATTTTATATATAATATTAGCAAGATGTTTCTAAAATATTTTATGGAAAATATTAATAATTAAGTTACATCCCTATTCAGACATCGCGTGGCGCACGCGAGTTTTTGTTCCGATCAGACTCCTTGTATACGTCATAAAACACGTGGATAAATACGAAAACGATAAATATAGAAATTATTACATAATTAATTCTAAACAAACAAAATCTACTTTATTAACGTGACATGAAGACAAACGTCACTCGTCTGTTGTTCTTTCATATAAAAAAATCATAGTAGAATAAGACGAATGAAAAAATTATTTGCTTTACAAAGGTTTATAATCCGGCTAAATTTAAAATTGTAGCTTATCTTTCGAGCACATAGCACTAATTAGTATTTTTATCAAGTCCTAGTTATAATTCCGTCATATTCATTTCATATTCAGGTGGGAAAGAGACAGGGAGAAAAGATCTATGTGCGAGAAAGGAATAGACTTATCTAATAACCTTCTTAACTTCTATATCCTATGAAGTCCTAGTACTTGAAACAAGTAAATATCCTTATGAAATTAAAACAAATTTTAATATTCGTATGATTTATTAACAACTTTTTTAAACAATTTACATGAAATAAAAAATAATATTTAAACATAAAATTTAAAAATATAAAGAAGAAATCAAAAAATAAAAGGAAAAATCTTTACTGGTTCAAATATGCTTATAGCGGGATTCGAAGGGGGGATTTTTGGATTTACTCGAGATTTGCAATTAAATTAAGGGGGGAACCTTGTACCCAATACCCTACCCTACCATAAATTAAATGTTCCGTAAAAAGTCGCGCTTTTAATATAGCCGATCAAAATATAAAAAAAAACTTGAATAAGTATAAGGTACCTCCCCACCTAGTGTAACTGCCATGCTTGTGTAAATCCAAAAATCCCCGCTTCACCTCCCCTACTAAGATCACGTCACACAAACATCATAGCTATGACGAGGCGAATTTTTTCTAGCGTTAATTAAAAAAAATCCTACTTAGGGCAGTTTATTTATGGAGCTATAAAGCTCCAGACATTTGTGTTACGTGGTTTTTAACAAAAAAACCTATTATTCTAGTATTTATTATTTATTTCAAAATGTCTCACTCTATTTTTATTATTTTAAAATCTTATTCTAAACAAAGAATCAGTCTACTTCTGAACAATTATGTAAAATAGCTATAGCGGAAAGTTTTAGTATGGAATCGAATTTACGGTAACATTGAAACATAGTTGTCTCACTTTTATCAAAGAGAATGACAAAGATAACAAACAATAAATGTATTGCAGATACACAGATGACAGGCGTGAAGTGGAAATAATTCCGCGTTTCGTCTGATGATTGCATGTGCCGCAGAACTTATTTTAGAGTTCGCTTTCCCCTTTCCACCTTTTTAAGGAAACTATGGTAAGGAAGTGGATTTACCGTGGTTTTCAAAGTCCGTAATCCCTGTTTAAAACATATTGTTATCTCTATTGTGTGGAACATGAAAGACAGGGATGACGATATTTTTCATACAGAGATTTTGGTGTCAGAAACCGACGGTTAGAGGAGGAACGCATAGGAAGGGGAAAATGTCTTCTTTTCTGCGTCTCCTCTTCCGTCGATTCAAGGCAAGGTATAGTATGTTTATTTTTTTATTTTTTTTGAGCTGAATTTGTCTTTTTTTAATTGAATTTTCTAATTCTACTCCTGATAAGATATGAATTATTTTCTAGTTTAAGTAACTAATCTACTAGGAAAACAGAAATGTGATAATATTGCACAGCCTTAAATAATTGCTTCTTACCACGTAGACGCGTAGTACAGTGACGTCACAGCTGTATACTATCCATGATACCTGTTTTCAATAATCCTAATTTGATAATTTTAAAACCAGCCTATTTCATAATATGTCTAGTTAGATTATAAACTAACGATCGATACTCATATTTCAGTGGTCATATAAATTAAAAACATATCTCATAAAACAGTTTCGATATTGTCAACTGAAGTACCAGGATATCATAACAAGGCAGTGTGTGTTAATATTCGTCAGCCATGATAAGCACAACAAGCGCAGTCCATCCAGTGAACGGCTTACATCCTGAACCTTTGCCGTCTTCTCCGGAGTACTGCTCCCATAGATAGCCATTGCGTTTGTATTCTGCTAACACATTTCCTGTAGAGAATTAAAATAGTTATTTTACCAAGTTAGAGGGAGATAGAAACAATAGTTCACTTTGCGCTTAGAGTACCGCAGTGTCAGCTGATTAAAACAAAGTACCAGGATAGCATAAATAAACAATGATATTTATTTACGCCTAATGTTTTTGAGCCGTAGAATTTGGATGCCATTTCTTGAACAAGACGCTATAAGTACCAGGATAACATAACAGCATTGAGATACTCACGGACGATATTGTCTCTAAGGCGTTCGTACAGATCTGCTGCGCGCTTGGCGTAAGTTCCTGCTCGGGAGTAGTGCTTCAGCGCGCGTAGAGCTAAATAATTGATATTGAGCCAAACTTGACCTCGCCAGTACGGTGGGTCGTGTTCTGTATTCCTCTTCATATAGTATGGCGATGATTTTGACAGCGATCTAGTCAAAAGATTTTATAATTGCGAGTTTCCATTGACAAAACACACCTGTATAGAAACATAGTGTTTAAAAATGTTTCGACAGTGGAAACCCACGGCTTAACGACAGGTTTACGTCACTAGAGACAAATAAGTACCAGGACATCATATTATGATCGTAGTAGTTTTACCTAAGTCCATATGGAGACCAAAGTAGTTCAGGCTTGTCCAAGTCTTCCAGGATCTTCCCCAACTTGGGACTCTCAGGTTTTAACACCATCAGCAACATTGGGAAAAGAGATACATAACCTGGAGAACATAAACACAACAAAATTTTCAAAAATAGCATGAAACAACAGGGTGAGCGAAAGAGTATGATGTCTCTCTCATACGTAAGTAAACTATGCAGTGTGAGTAAGATAGGCTATATTACCAAAAGCCGAAGTGACCAGTGTAGGCTTTGGTGGCACTAATACGCTTCGAACCACTCTTGATAGCTCATTGGGAGCTTTAGCTGGTTGCCTGACCAACTTCACGCCATCCGAGTGGAGACCTGGATGTTAAAAGTATAAATTTATATAGCAAGGATAGGGCGCTGCAATTTTCTTTGTCTGTTCAAAGAGAAAAAAAGGGATGACAATATATTATTTATGTAAATAAATGTTTCCATCTGATTTTGTACTAGGAGTTCATAACTCACCATAGTCAGCGTATGTCTGAGTTTCCGGCGACCAGTGAAGTTCATTCAGAAGTTCCTCATCGCCCAGCTGATCTCTCGTTGCTTCGTATCTGAAAGATTCGCAGTCAAGTACTAGGACTTCATAGGATAAAGAAGTTAAGTAAACAAGGTAATTGATAATTGGATTACTCCATTCCTTTCTCGCACATAGATATTTTCTCGCTGTCTCTTTCGCATACGTATAAGAAATGAATACATACTTAGTCGTTTCAATAAACAGGTGAAAAGCGATGGTCGCCATAGCATCTGCGGCAGCGTACATCCAACAACGAAGGTCAACATGCCGTTCAATATCTGATGGGTGTGATGCCCTGGTACAAAAAATATTCTGTCAATTAATTACAGTACAATTCCAATGCTGACACTTATAATAAATATTGCCATCCCTTTCTATCCACAATCGATTTATAGAGTTAGAGAACAACTTACCTAGGATAATCATCCAGACCGGATGTCAAAGTTTTAGGATTGAGTTGGAGACCGTCATCTTCTCTGCCTCGCCACCTGTACGCGGTGGGCTCGTCTCCTTTCTGTGTGCTTTGGAACCATTGGTACCATGCCTGGAAAGAAACGTTGATAATTTTCATACAAAAAATTATTAATTCTGTCATTACCCTGACTGACAGAAGGGTAATATTTTTCCCAAATAGTGTGGTTTGTATGTTTGTTTGGTCAAGACATTGTTTTTTTGCGAAAACTACAATAAAATTGAAAATATCAAAGTAGCAGGACATCATAAAACTTAAAGAGCCACACCTGCAATCTAGGGAACATTCGATCGAGAGTTCCGCGCAGCGTCTGTCCTGGTCCGAATAGCTGCGGGTTGTTGCGCACCAAATGCGCCAACTGTACCAACAGCATTGGCGGATTGGCCGCCGCGTTACTTTGTACTATAAACTCTTTAGGCACACGAGCGACCGCTTCCACACCTGTACCAGGAAAGCAGAAATACAATGAGGAACATTTTTTATTTATTTTTTAATTAGTGGAAATAGGGTTTAACTTACCCAGTATCTGTTCGCGTGGTATCCATCCTTCAACATTAATCAGGTCCAGCCAATGCGCCGCGATGTCCATCTGTATCTGAGGAGACCAGTGACCTATCAGGAGACCATGAAAGCCCTCGTCCCATAGGAAACCGCGTGGGAAGAACGACCTAAACAAAGTATTTGAAATTGAACCTTATCCCCATACTTATAAGATTGAATTTAAAACAGAAAAAAGATTTAAGACAACTATTTTACATTGAACTTTAACTAATAGACATAAGGTTGATTTTAGATTGACTTTGCAATTAAAAATCCACATTTCTTATTAAAGCATATGAATTTAGGCAATCTTTTATGGAACCTAAGCTCTATTGAACTTATTCTATGGACGATAGTTGTATATCGTACCTGCTTGGTACCGCGGTATACAACGGCGCTCTCCAGTAAGGCACTGGCTCACTGGTATGCTGGGACTTGACTCTGCCCGCCCCATAGAAATATCCGATTCCACCAATCATGTTGGACAACGCCGCTCTAGCTATAATCACGTCGAGTTCTGCATACCTGGTAGTTATCATATTGTTTACTCACGACTTAACTGTAATATGGTAGACAGAGGATAACAAAATATTTATTATACCTCTATTTGACTAATTGCGGGTTTCTGAGACCAAAAACTCTGTATAAAACACACATTTCTGTCTTTCATCTTTGACAAAAAAGTAAGAATATGTTTTAAACGTTTTTGGTATCAGAAACCCACGGTATATTATTTTTAAAAACATTCAAAATTAAAATTTTTATATAACTTGGATATAAAATATAAAAGTGATTAATTGACTTTTTTTTAAATTTGTAGTTTTTTAGTTTAGCATTTTATGGCTGAATAATGTAATTTCTACAAATCTTATTAATAACGGATCTCGATTAAATTTGTCATAGATATAGAACATAGTCTGGAAGGACACATAGACTTTTTAAGTTTGTTTTTAATTTCGCGCGGACGGAGTCGCGGGCGACAGCTAGTTAAGTATAAAAATGGCCGTCATGATGAGCGTTGTTTTTTATGTGTTTGATTTAAATATAGTTTTACTGCATACTTATCATCCAGATTGAATTTTCTTTCAAATTCTAAGTCGAATTTCATCCTATGCATTTCCATTTCATTTGTATATTCAATCCCCTTCAATGGTGGGGTAGGCAGATCTTCTGTTGTGTACACTACATCCAAATAAAATGGTGTCTCAACTATCATTTGAACAGGAACAAAATTCGCGTTCTGTAGGAATAAATTTTACTAAAGTACCAGGAGATTAGAAACGTAAAGAGCTAAGACATGAGATAGCATAATATAGGAAAAGAAATAGGTAAAAATACTCATGAATTTCAATTGAACAAACGAAATATCTTGCTATCTCAATATTTTGACGTAGAATGAGAGGGACAACACATATTTTCACATTGCGTCAAAGAAACCTATGGTTTAAAATTGTTTTCAAGTAATTCAAAAAACCTACTGTAATTTACCAAACTACCAAAATAAGACATTTCATCAGTATCAAAAATCCAGTAGCTTTATATTTTTGGACTAGGAGTTCATAACCGCAGAAGGTTTTGCACAAATTGGCTAGACATATCTGGCAAAACACTCATACAAAAAGAGAAATGTATAGTCATCTCTCTTTTTCTCCTTGAAAAGAGAGAGATAAGTATATGTATGTGTGTTTTGGCAGTGAAAGCACCAGTGAAAGATATATGATTATCTCTTTCTCTCACTATTAAATTATCAAATACCTGCTATTGTATTATAGACCTTATTACTATGACATAAAGTAACAAACCTGTTCATTTAGTTTTGGGTCCGGTTGCAATATTGGCAGTTGTCCAATTGGTCCATATCTTTCTTTACTGGGCTTTAATAAAGAATAAAACTTCTCCTTTAAGAGATGTAGCCCTGGTGCTACTGCCTCTGAATATGACGTATGGTGGAGTTTACCTGGAAAAAATGTTTGTATGTTGTATGTATGAAGCAAACCTCAGGGTAGATGAGGTTGTATGAGAATTTGTATGTAAATTTCTTGGTGATGGCATCCTCCTCTATGACCTCATTTATTCCCGGAATGACATCGTTTTTTTTTTTTAATTACAACCAACTAAATATGCAACTAATTTTAAAACTAACCATTCATCATCATCAGCTCACTATACATCCCCACTGAGGGGCTCGGAGCCAACCCTAAGTTAAGGGTGATTAGGCCATAGTCAACCACGCTGACCAAGTGCGGGTTGACTTCACACATATCTTTGAACTTCTCAAATATGTGCATCACCATTTTCCTTCATCATAACATCGGATAAATGTACATATGTAAATAGGAAATGGAAAAACACATTGGTACATGGCGGGATTCGAACCCAGGACCTGCAGATTGCAAGTCAAGTGCTTGACACCTAAGCCACCGATGCTTTAAAAACTAACCAAAGATTTAAAATAACTTTACCTTCATGTATAAAATTAATTCTAAAATTATCTAACTGGGGAGTATGTCCCTTCATAACTCCATTCTCCATCCATAGACGGGAATGTGGTGCTGCTGGACCCATTGACTCATCTAAGGCTCCGTACCATATCAAACCTACTGTCTTCTTATTATGCTGAAAAAATTAACTAATAAAATTTCAACAAATCACTAAACATATAAATCTGAACTAATTCCAAAGTTCACAAAAACTTGAACCATAGAGCTATAGCTCAACAAACTATGCGAGTCCAAACGCAAGCTAAATGGTGACTCGTAACTCAAAACGCAAAAAACTCTAAGCAAGACCAAACTGATGAGCTGTGAGTCACTTCACTAGACTACTTTATACATGTGAGACGTGAGCTGCAGGTCACCCATGACTTAAAACGAAGGATATCTGCATTTGGATTTAGGTACAAAATATGTACCATAAATGGCAGCAATTCCGCGTTTCGTCTGATGAGTGTGCGTCCCGGAGGCCTAATTTAGTCCTCTTTCCCTTCCCACCCTTTTCTTATAAGGGAAGGATGGGAAGTGGTAGTGGACTTTCCGGATGAGAGGATGCATGGAAAGGGAAAATATTTTCTTTCTGTGCATCCTCTCCTCCGTCGATTAAAGGTAGGCAACGCATATGCAATTGCGTATGTCTATGGGCAACGGTCACTTCGCTATTTCAGCGATTTCATGTGGCCGCTCGCTCGTTTGCCACCTTATGATATAAAAAAAAAATAACTAATTTTGACAAGTGCTTTGTATGATTCTACATAGATCTGCCTCCATCAGTGACATCCGGATCGCATCAAGATAAAGCAAATCCGTTTAATCCGTGCGGTACGTTCATATTTTTTCCCCGAGTGTAATTTCTATAAATGGATAGGAGATTGCTTGAAAATGACAGCTCCAATATAAACGCGCCTGTTGATGTTACTTGACAATTAATTCTATCTATATTATTAGTTCCGATCCTCACTACCGCTACAAACCGTTACCATCAGCGCCAAAATGGCGGAAATCAAATCAAAAAAGCACAAAATTCTACATCTTATAGCCAGTCTATTTATAAGTCAGCGGTCATAGTATAATCTTTTTGTTTTAATTTATCCTTACCTTTGAAGTAACATTAATTCTTGCAGTCCAATGTCCTCCGTTCACCACACCTGGGGTCTTTATAAATGATGTCACTATATTAAGTGGCATATCCAATATCAATTGCTCTCCAAACAAAAATCCATCATGTCTTAACCAACCGTAGGACATTAAATTATCATTCTGATCACACCAATGTCTGTAAAAAATATTAAAAATCGGTTAAACATCGGAAGTCATAATCATACTAATATTATTACCAACAAGCTGTCGCCTGTGACTCCGTCCGTGTGGAATGAGAAAAAACGTAATTCATTCCCGATTTTATTCGTATTTTTCTCACTTTTCAAACATTCTCTAGATCTCCACGAACATTTCAATACCAAGATAAGATAAATCCGTACAGCCGTTCTCGAGTTTTAGCGAGACTAACGAACAGCAATTGATTTTTGTATATACAGATAGATGTTTAGTAAAATAGTAACTTGATAAAATTTGACATATAGAACATAGGCCGGAAGAACACAGACATTAAGTTTTTTTTAATTATGCGCGGACAGAGTCGCGGGCGATAGCTAGTAAACTAATATATATGTGAGTGTTAAACTTTCTAAACATCTTTTTAAATAATTTACTTGCTTAGTTGAAACCCTACATTTCTTATTTAACTTGTGAACCCATAGCTTTTATTTTCCCCCATTAAGCACTTTAATAAGCATTCTATGGACCCTAGAAGGACCACACAGCCCACTTTGGAAGTAATGTTCCAAAGAAGTAACTAAAAATTAGTTAAATCTGATACAGGCTGATAATGACAACATCTAACTAATATTATAAATGAGAATGTTTAGATGGATGGATGTTTGAAGGTATCTCGGGAATGGCTCAACAGATCTCATAGGAATTTAGCATAGATGTAGAACATAGTCTGGAAGAACACATAGGCTACTTACTAAGTTATAAAACAGCTAGGTATTCAAATAAAAATTACCTGATCCCTTTATGTGTATCACCAATTTCATACCACATAAAACCAAAAACAGGGGAACGTGGGTCTCTGCTTTTAATACCAAAATATACTCCTGGTCTATATGAACCCCAGTAGCGTTCTGGTACAAATATACCAGTCTCTAAAACTGCCTGAAAAATACAATAACTGAATTAACTAAAACCTAAATGTAACAGTGGTAGAGCCCGCTTTAACATCTTTGCATGAATTGTTCCTGCTCGCCTGGTGAAATACCACACAGGAGACAGACGTCAAGTGGACGCAATTCCGCGTTTCATCTCATGAGTGTGCATCCTGGAGGCCTAATTTAGTCCCCTTTCCCTTTCCACCCTTTTTCTTATAAGGAAAAAATTGAAAGAAAACTTGCTCAGAAAAAAACAAGAAAATGCAACTTATGTATGGATGGCATCTACACATACATCTTTTTGCCATTTTTCCTATATATTGTTGGCATAATATAAATTGTTCCATACATCTCTATCAGCCGTCATATTCACCCCATTCTTTTGCATTTTTATGTTTACACAATCCATACTTATATCATTGGTCGTAATCTACCTCTATAGCCATCCACATTTATTAACTTTTTATTAAAAACTCATGAATAAAAGAATTTTAATGAGATTAAACAAAGATTTTGTTATATTAAATCAGATTACAATAACAAAAAATTGACAAGCCTTAGCGACTGACAGTAATAGTGGAATTACAATTATATACTATTGATAATTTAATATAAATAAATAAAAACCAAATAAATAATCTTAACTAACTTCACTTCGTTAGCTTACCTTTTCCTCATCAAGAGGCGTGTTTACGCGGGTTTCTAGATAACCTAAAACACTAACATAAATCGCGAATGCTAGGCAACAGAATCCGACAACAGTCTTCCAAATAGATGAGAAACGAAATAAATTTGAGTTTCTACCACTTCCCGAATTGCTACCAGTGTTATTATTCCCATGTTTATGTTGCGAACTGACTATTTTTCTATGTCTTACCATCTTATAGAGATATAAAACTGTATTGTAACTTAAATCTTAATTATTTTACATTTAATTGATAACTAATATCTATAAAATGGGAAGCGGCATTTACACTTTGCAATTTGGCAAAAAAATGCAATTTGTAAACGTCAATAAATAGGAATGTTGCCATGAAATAAACATTTTGATAATTTTGCGTGGCTTTTCATGAAAGTGTCAACACTTTTTACGCATTTATTCCGTTACAATTACATTTTTTATTTTAAAATTAACAATACAACTATTAAAAATAACTCATAATTAAGACTCGATTACAAAACAACAAAAAAAACTTCCTAGCTAAATTGAAAATAACTATGATGCAAGAGAGCTTTGAAAGGTATAAGGATTAAGTATTAACTAGATAGAATTTTATTACTGTTTAAAATATTTAAGCGCCTTTATCATTTAAAAATTATTTAATTTTAAACAACATTTCCTGGCTGCGCCACCTGCCGTGAGGTCGATAAAACAGTTGTCATTGGCGTCGGTAAAGCAGGCCCCTACCCCGCGACGGCGTTCCCACCTCGCCCCGCGCGACGCGATCCCCAGTGCGATCGAGCGAGGCGCGCGTGCTTGTACTGCTGTCGGAAATGATGATAAAAGCTACGCGTACACGAGGACGCTTTTAAAGACTTCAGTGAAATAATGTAAGACGCCTAGCGACAGGCCGCTCGGACCGACCGGCGGCTACCTGCGAGTGTAACCTCGACCCTCCCAAAAAGATAAAAAAAAACGCCAAACTCCTATGTCAGTGCGTTCGGATTGTGTTTGTGTAGTGTAGTTTGAAAATAGTTCAATGGATCAGTCTGCGATGTTCGTATGAGGAAGAAAGGGAACCGGAACATTGTAAGTGAACGACAGTTGAGTGTTATTTCTGTTAAGATGCGGGGTGGCCCGCCCCGGCGGGTAGGCGAGCGGGGCGGTCGCTGAACAAGCTACGGAGGTACGGAGGTCTATCCCTCGTATACTCAATACGTTTTTTTTTTCACTCCCGAGCAGGTCTCTAACCCCTTTTTTATGCGTCGCGTGTTTTTTTTCACCGAATGTTTACTTTTATAGGTTATGAAATCGTATGACGCTAAATACGGAATAAGTTATCTGTGCCTACACATTTTACTTCGACGTTTGCAAAACATAGTTAACTGTGCAGTCTAAATATACAAAAACATTGTTTTCATTATGAATAATACTTAAAACAGAGTCGTTGTACCAAAATCTCGTAGTTATGACCTAAGAGTTTAATAGTACTATAGTTTACGAAACAAGCGCAATCTAAACAATTTTTGTCACGTCATTTGTTATTGTTTTGATATTGTCAACGCGTGAAACACACCTCTGTCATAAGTCATGCTGTTGATTAAAAAAACGCAAACTTTAACCTAATCCATCGCAAAATAAGATGTAAACTCGGCACCAAAAGGTGTAAAACCCCATCTTGCTATCCCCTACATTATCTTTAATAAGACAGAGACAATATACAAAGTTAGAGAGCAAAAATATATATTACTCGAATGGACCAGCTTCATATCACGATCACACAAGACAGTCGTCAAATTTAAGTAATTCCGCGTAAAATCTCATGAGTATGTACTAGAGGTCATATAGTCCACGATACCTTATTCTTCTCTTCTGAGGCAATGATGGGAAGGGTAAGTGAATTTGACCAAGAGACACAGAAAGGGGAATATCTTGTTCCTCCGTCGATTAAAGGCAGGGAATGCATCTGCAATTGCAGATGTATATGGTCACTTCGCTATTTCGACAAATTCAGGTGACTGCTTGCTTTGCCACCTTATAAAAAAAACGAAACAACTATTCTGTTTTTCTTACCTGCCAGTTACACTACGTTACGTTTATCGTAAGCTCCTACTGCAATTTTATTGTCTGTGGTAACATTTCTTTTTTATTAAGCATTTCAACATTGGTAGGGTTATAATCAAAAATCACTCTTGTCAATAATTTCGTGTAAATTTAATACTAAAACCTGCGTAAATTTATGCTTAATTTCCCCAAATCTTACTAATATTATAAATGCGAATGTTTAGATGGCTGTTTGTTAGAAGGTATCTCTAGTACGGCATGTATCTCGTCGAAAGGCATAGACGTAGAGCATAGTCTGGAAGAACACATGAGAATGCTAGTACAACATAATCGAAGAATTTGAATGTCCTAATACTTGTATTCTAGACTAGCTTTTGCCCGTGACATCGTATGTGCAGAATTTATAGTGAAAAAACAACATCCATCAATCCTAACATTCGTTTAAGTAACATTAAATTTAACAAAAGCGTATTTTCCAACTTCATAAACATATTATTGTCTTAGCAGTGAAATTCACATTTAATTGTTAAAAAAGTATGAACATCTCTGGTGGGGATCGAACCCACGACCTTTGGATTAGAAGTCCAACGCGCTATCCACTGCGCCACAGAGACATATATGCTCTGACCGAATTATAACATAATGCGCAAAATATACAAAAACTAACTCAAAATTGTATATTAAAGCATATTAATGTTTTTATCAAATTAAAATCATACATCTGTATGTAAGGCCTTAAAGAAGACTGATGTAATATTGGATTGTGTATGGATATGCGTATGATGGGGGTGAATTTACGTATGGCGGATGAAAGAGATGTATGGAGGGTACGTCAGGGAAAGGACAAGAGCCTCGGTGGATCAGTGGTTACATTTGATATGCAATCTGCAGGTTCTGGGTTCGCATTTTGATATATTTTTTCGATGAAGGCGCGTGTCGCTAATATTCGTGATAGACCCTCAGATATATATCCCATTTTACGTTCATTGTCAGCTCACTATACATCTCGAAGCCTACCTTAAGTTAGTGAAAATGTCATATCAAGGCTGGCCCAGTGACTTCACATATACCTTTGAAATTCTCAGATATGTGCAGCATCACGATGTTTTCCTTCACCGTAACATCGGATAAATGTACATATGTAAATAGGAAATGGAAAATTATATTGTTACATGGCGGGATTCGAACATAGGACCAGGTCCTAACTCCTGAGCCAACGACTCTCATAAATTCAACCTTCTTTACAATAAATTTAGGTAACGTACACACTAGCAACAATTAACGGGCCATCGAAAACGTGTAATGTCCCTTAGTTAACGATTAACCTTATTTCCGAAACACGGTCATCTTCAAAGCTTAACCTAAATATGACGTCACGGCATGCCTAATTTAACAATTAACGTAACTCTGTGGTCTAGGGCCGAGGTTGATTTTGGCATGGTGCTGGCACACATCTATTCCTTCAACAAAATTCTACGCTAATTTACCTTATTTTACATCTAAATATCAAATCTTTACTAATATTATAAATGCGAATGTTTAGATGGATGTTTGTTAGAAGGTAACCCCAGAACAGCTGCATAGATGTAGACATAGTCTGGAAAAAAACATAGACTATGAATTATATATATGAAAAACTGTTAGTCTTATCTTACTTCTTACTAATATTATAAATGCGAATGTTTAGATGGATGTTTGTTTGAATGTATCTCCAGAACGACTCAATAGATTTCCATGAAATTTGGCACAAATATAGAACATAGTCTGGAAGAACACATAGGCTACTAAAGTTTTTTTTAATACCTCTCATACGAAGTCGCGGGCGACAGCTAGTTTGTCTATAAAAGTATAAGATCGGCAACATCGCTTTCGGAACGGCAACGTAAGAACCTCGTAAAGTTTTTGTGTTTTTTTTTGTTTGTCATTTCAATGGAAGATAGGAATGTGTTTTATGTAACAAAGTTCTGTTTTACCTGGTGCCAAATAAAAGCTTACACCTTTAAACCATAGATAAAATTAAAAACAATAGTTTTTTTTTAAATAAATAACTCTAAAATAAACTGTCATTTCAACGTACAGCCAAAAGTACAACTTCGAATCAATCCGAATTATTTTTTTTTTTATATCAAAAGGTGGCAAACGAGCAACCGTCCACCTGAAATCGCTGAAATAGCGATGTGACCGTTGCCCATATACATACGCAATTGCATATGCGTTGCCTACCTTTAATCGACGGAGGAGAGGATGCACAGAAAGAAAATATCTTCTCTTTCCATGCATCCTCTCATCCGGAAAGTTTCATCATTCCACTTCCCATCCTTTCCTTATAAAGAAAAGGATGGGAAGGGAAAGAGGACTAAATTGGGCCTCCTGGACGCACACTTATCAGACGAAACGCGGAATTGTTTCCACTTGACGCCTGTCTTCTGTGGTCGTGGTATTTCACCGGGCGAGCCGGACCGATTCGTGAGAAAATGTTAAAGCTCGCTCTACCGCTGTTAAAATTAAAAAAAAAAACTTAATAGTAGGCTATATGTTCTTCCAGACATCTACATCTGTGACTTTCAGTGACATCCATGCAGCAGTTCTGATGATAACTTCTAAGAAACATCCATCCATACAATTATTAGTAAGATAGATGTATTCTCTGCCTACCTCTAAAGGATAAAAATGATTGGATTATCCGTAATAATTATAAAACGTTTTTTTTAATATTTTTTATAGTATATGAATATTTCTTAAATTTTTTATAAATTTTTACATATTTTTTTTATATTTGAAATATTTCTTAAGTAAAATAACTTACCAGGAATTCATAATTGCGTAAACCGAAACGAGTTACACTCGTACGAAGCGTACGAGATAGGTTAGTACAAAAAACTGCATATGCCCCAGGACCGGTTTATATTAGACTAGGTAGCTCCTAATACACTCTGCTAGCCTGGTACTTTAAGAAATATTGGTATGTCAAATGTCCGAGAAACATACTAGCGGTCGGCCCGCGTTTCGTCGGCGCAAATTAAATAAATTCCAGCTTGATTGAGACGAAAGGTCTTGACAGACAGACAGACGGACAACAAAGTTATCCAATAAGGGTTCCATTTTTTTCCTATGAGGTACGGAACCCTAAAAAAATATCCTAAAATATTCCCGCGTGCTTAACCTACCTTTTCATCTAAGTTCCGTCAAAATCGGTCTAGCCATTCCGGATATTTACCACAAACTCACCCTTACAGACATACAGACAATTTTTTCCTTTATTACATACATACATTCCAATTTTA